GCCCATCTAACCACTGACGTGCGGCATCACTTATATGAAAGAAATCAAATGCTGGGCCCTTATATGCCCTCAGCTTACAGCTGGTCACAATGGGATCTACAGATTGAGGTGGGACCCCACAGATGCACGGAGGGGAGAATGCAGGGGTGGGATACTACTGGTTTGGACCAGTTCGAGTGAACTGGATGTTAAGTTTTCATCGGATTCACTGAACTGGTATTTCAACCCACCGGCTGGACCCACCCACCCTGCCCGTCCCCTCCCAGGAGTCTCCACGCGATGCAGGTGAGTGGAGGCTCTGGGAGGGGGAAAACGGGCCTTCCGGAAGTCTCGAAACAGGCCCGTTTCCAGCTTTCCGGTGGGCCTCCAGAGCCCGGGGGAGCCTGTTTTCCTCCTCCCAGAGGCCCGAGGGAAGCCTCCGGACTCTGGGGAAGGCGAAAAATGGAAGTGTTTGGAAGTTCCTGGAAGTTTCAGTAGGCCACACCCACCATGGCCACGCCCACCCGGCAACCAGGCAGAGAACCGGTTGCTGGGATGTTCGAATCCCACCCCTGGGAGGTTGCTGTGCTCCCATTTCTTCCTCGGATCTCTGAGCTCCTGCCTGGCTTGGAGACTAGCAAGAATCCAAACAGCTGGTAGCTCATTGGAGAACTTTTCTGGAATTCCGCCCCCCCCCCCCCCCCCCCCCCCCCCCCCAGCTTTGAGACTCATCCAGACCATTTTTGAACGCAATCTTTCTTCGGCCAGTTTTTTTTTTTTTTCCACTGCACCAAATTTGGTCCCATTCTGTCTAGTTTTTGGAGAATTCTCTGCTGATGGACAGATGGAGCCCCCAGAGGGTGATTCATTCCAAACAAGCCTCTTGTGTTGCAGGATGTCCATAAAGTCGAGAGAGCAGCTGAGACACATATATACCCAAAGGGCAAGGTTTCGTCATGTAGCCTAGCTTCATTCTTGACCTTTTTATTTTATTTTGATCTTTTTTTTAAGAAGGAAAGAATTAGAGAAGAACTATTCTATTCTCTACTATACTATACTATTCCATTTTCTCTTCTTTTCTGCCTTCCCGCCCTCCCCTTCCCTCTCATCCCATCCTATCTTATCCTATTCTATCCTACAATCTACTCTACTCTACTCTACTCTAACTTTTCTAATTCTATTCTATTCTATTCCATTCTATTTTCTCTTCTTCTCTTCTCTTCCCTCCCTCCCCCTTCCGTCCTATCCTATCCTATCCTATTCTGTCCTACTCTCTACTCTACTCTACTCTTCTAATTCTATTCTATTCCATTCCATTCTCTCTTCTCTTCCCTTCCCTCCCTTCCCATCCTATGTTATCCTATTCTATCTTACTCTCTACTCTACTCTACTCTACTTTTCTAATTCTGTTCTGTTCTATTCTATTCTATTCTATTCTATTCTATTCTATTCTATTCTATTCTATTCTATTCTATTCTATTCTATTCTAATTCGTTCTATTCCATTCCATTCCATTCCATTCTACTCTATTCTACTCTACTCTACTCTACTCTAAATTCTGTTCTATCCTATCCTATCCTATCCTATCCTATCCTATCCTATCCTATCCTATCCCATTCCATTCCATTCCCTCTTCCCTCCCTTCCTATCTTACCCTATTCTATCCTACTCTCTACTCTACTCTACTCTACTCTTCTAATTCTCTTCTCTTCTCTTCTCTTCTCTTCTCTTCTCTTCTCTTCTCTTCTCTTCTACTCTACTCTTCTAATTCTCTTCTCTTCTCTTCTCTTCTCTTCTCTTCTACTCTACTCTACTCTACTCTACTCTACTCTACTCTACTCTACTC